TCTGGGGGTCTGAGCAACTGATTTGAAGGTAACGGTATGCGATGGAATTACAATGGTGAACTCCTACCATCTTGTTTAGTGAAACACTGTATTATCTCTAATGTTTTATTGAAGAATTATTTTCTTATTCTCTTTAATGGGTTGAGCAATCTTTCATTCTTACATCTGATAATCTGAGCAATATAGTTGAGGATAGTGATATGCAATGTAACAACACTGTTGATTGTATTAATTTGTCTTGAGACCCTATATTACTTTGAATGTTCTTGCTTTGATTTGTTTATGTTCGTGATACTGGTATGCTGCTACTGTTCTATTTTGTTTGTTTGTTTGTGTCTCATGTACTACTGTCTTTAAAATAAAAAAGGAATAATTTTTAAAGGTACTCTAGTTTTCTAAAGAACACTAATGTATATTTACATAGGTATTATATATATATATATATACATACATACATACATACACTAAATACACACATCCTATCTTACTACGTGCCAAGCACTGTGCATGTTGCTGAGAACATAAAATGATTAAAATATTGACTATTCCTGGCCTTAAGGAATAAGAGCCAAGGGTAGAACAACTTGGTCTTTCTATAACTACTCCAGTGGAATCGCCACCTGCATTAGTGAGGATCCTCAGGAGGAACAGAATCAGTAGAAAATATATGTATATGTATGTGCTGGGACTTACTAGGTAAGATTTACAGGACCAGAAGCAAGGGAGTGCACAATGGCTTCTGTGGCACGAGCGGTGAGAGAATCCACAATGACCATCTATGTGCTGGAGAGCTGTGCAGTCCAAAAAGATGCACCCCCAAAGCAAGATGGCTTAAACATGAAGCACCAGGCTAAGGCTGAAAGGCCGGAAGCTCACTGGGCAGTCGCTAGCAGGGAGACTGTCTTGAGAGGCTGAAGAAACAGAGACCTGGGAACTGAGGATGGCAGCAAAGGTTGGCAGTCTTCTACAGAAGACTGGAGTTCTTGAAAACCAGCGTACTTCATGCTTCTTCCATTTTTTATTTTAGCCAGGCTCCAGGTCTATTGGTTCGTGTCACCCACAACCAGGGTAAGTCTTCTCCCTTGGTTTGTGGGCCTACATATTAATCTTCCAGAGACACCGTGAACCTCTCTCTACTAATCTTCTGGGTATTTCTTATTCTAGCCAAGTTGGCATAACACACTTATGGGTCACACTCCTGAAGACTTTCAGCAGTTCGTTTGGAGGAACACCTGAGGGATCTATTTTTCTGAATCAGTGGCTGTCAATCCAGGCTGTATATCACCATGAGACATTTTAAAATAGAGCTTCCTAGTCCCATGCCAGAGATTCTAATTGAGTTGGTCTGAGATGGGACCTCAGACTTCCTTCATGAACCTAAGACTTCTCTGGTGAACCTAAGACTTCCCTGGCAAACCTTCCCTAGTGCCCCTGTGTTGAGAACCTCAGGGAGGTGCCCTGAACAATTCCACTGGCACCCTACCAGCCTCATTAGCTTGAGAGTACATAAGGGAATCTCTCTGAAAAGAATTCCTCATTTAACAGGCATTACTAAGCATCTCAGAAGTGACAGGCAGAGTTTTAGGTGCTTGGGGTGGCACCAGTGAATACAACAGGAACTCTCTGTGCCTTTAGAACTTTATAGTCTAGATATTAAGCATTAGTTAATTAATGAGCCAAACAATGACATAACTGCAAGCTGTGACAAGTGCTTTAAAGGGGCAGGAACAGGCTGGGAGGTGCTGGACAATGCAGAGAGGAATCTGCCTTGTTCAGGATCAAGAAGGTTTTACAAAGGAAGGTAATTTTGGGTTGAGACTTAAACCAAGAGCAGGAGTTAAGTGGGGCCCTTGAGGGAAGGAAATAGTTAAAAATCCTGAGATGGGACAGGATGTCTGTACGATACAGCCATGTCAATCGGAAAAGGTTTGTCTCAGTGACTGCAGCCCAGAGCCAGGGCACACAGCTAGAGGAACAGGGTGGATCTCAGTCTTACTTATCCTTTCGCTGGATGGTCCCTGGAGCAGTCCTCTGTATGGAACTGTGCCTTTGTAAATGGTGCCTTGAGCATCAAAGGAGAAGCAAGGGTGATGTCCCAGAGGGCAGAGACAAGAAGAGGGCTAAGTGATCTGGCTCTCCACCAAGGCTGTGCTGAAGGTCTTGGGCTTCATTCTAAGACTTGTATGAAGCTCTAAAGCCAGAGGAGAGCCCAATAAATTTCAAGAATGGCAGCATGGCTACCAGGGTGAGGTCACCACCAAGATATAGTGGTGGTCAGACTAGGACTGGTGTCGAGGAGCTGGAAGGAGACAGATTGGGGAGTGATTTAGGCAAAACAATTTATTGGATTTGAATGATTGATTGGATATGAAAATGAAGGAAAATTATCAAAGGAGTATCCCAGGTTACTGGCTTGTGCAACTGATATTATAACTGATAGCATTTATGGAGATAGGAAATGCTAATGAAGAAAACACATGCACACACACACACACACATGCACGCACACACATGCACTCCTACTCAAGAGTCAAGAGTCGATAGGAAGACAAATTGTAAATATTTTCTCTCTCTCACCTCCCCTTTTCCCAGTAAAATACAAAGTAAAAAAGTACAAGTTAAAACTGAAAGTTTATGGAACCACTCTGACTTGATTTCTACCTATCTATAAAATATGAAATAAAGGAAAGGTCCTACCAGAAAATGACTGTCGTGCCATTCCACTTTACTTTTAACTCTAGTATTCTAGTCCTTTATATTTGATGGTCAATTATTGGGATGCCTGGAAAGTTGCACTTCAAACATCGCTATTGCCAAAAGAAATTCACAAACTGAAGCACCACTTAGGGGAAATGTTATTGTTGCCACTTAAAAGAGAAAAGCATTCCCTTCACAGGAATAGACCGATTCAGACTCAACCAACCTCGAGGCTGGAGCTGGTCCACAGGGAATCCCACCCTATGCCTCCATTCTGCCACAGAAGACCAGGTGATATTTCCAGGAGACAAGCACGCTGTATTATGGTTGGAATTAAATTTTACTTGAGCCTCAACCATATAAATATATGTATACAATATTACATACTAGACACGTTTGCAAGCTCCCCTCTACCCTCCACACCTACCCTCTATCCATTCTTTACAACTCCTGAGTGTCAAATGCAGAACCCCCAGGGCAGAATCAACTCATGGAGAGCCTAGTGCAGACTATAAGTGCTCCATGCCTCCTAGAGGGCTGGCAAGAGTGTGTGCAGGGCCTGAACAAGACCTGCCTTGGTCACACAAAAGGACTGCTTTAACATCCTGAACTCAAGCTTAAATTCAGTTGTTACTAATTCCTCAGACAATTTGGTTCATGTTCAAGTGAAAAAAAATAGTCTTCCAACAAAGCATTCTCTTAAAAGAAAAAAGATTGCTAGAAGGCAATTTAGTCACTTGTGATTTCTGAAGAAAAACGTATCTTTCTTTGGATTACCAAGGGGTTTTATTTGAAAATAAATGTATAATCCAGAGCTGTTACATTCTGTGATAAAATCACAAACATAGGCATACATAAGCCTCTAGTCCTGTTCTGTGGTGACTGAAATCAGGCAAGGGTAAAAAAGAAGTATAGTCATATTTCCCCAAGGATAACTCTTTCATATAGACCTACATTACACTGACATTTTTTTCTGTAAATATTTTGAATGTGCATGATCAATTTCTGTCACTAGTCCAACACCTAGATGTGCCTGACAACGTCCTAACATGAATTTCTGGATTGGTTTCAGAAACACAGTGGCTGGTAACTGTATCTACAAATGGCTTGATCTATTTTGATGTGAGCTTAATTAATGCTGAATATGAAACTCCAAATGTCACAATTCAGGAGTTTAAAATTTTAATTATTAGACTGACTTAGTTAACTTATTCTAAAATGTAATTTAATGTGGGTATTAAATTTTCTTACAATAAATTCAGTTTTTCAGATAAAAACATTTGATGAAATCTCCCTATTATGCTCTTAGTATGGGAATGAGAACTATATGAAAATGTTACAATGCTGGGACTGTAGTTCAGTGGTGGAACATTTGCCTAGCACATGTGAAACCCTGGGTTCAATCTCTGACACCAGCCAGAAAAAAAAGAAAAACAGAAGATGCCATAAATAATATGTGGCATGAGCATTAGAAGTTGGTCTACGAACTTGCAGAGGAGGATTGGGCTGCGAAGTTATGAGATCTAGTCACAAAGTCCAAGCTTCTTTTTGATGAAGTTTGAGATTAGGAGCTGAGGCCGTTGCTGGTACTCTGCTAGAACATCATGGGACAAGTTGATCTGATCTCCGTGAAGTCTGTCAAGCAGTGTCACGCAGACCACAGCAGCTAGTAGAGCAAATGACACAATTACTGAAGTGAATGGGTTTACTTTTCCTACAGAAGCATCAGCCTAACATGCCAATGTTCACAGCACATACACTTGGTATCATTTTTCCTGTAATGTAAAAACAACCTGAAAAAACTTCTCATCTTCAGTACAATTCATATTTCTATGGAATCTCACCAAAGACTTTTTATTTAAGTAAGTTAATTGAAAATATTATGAGCATTCCTCTTTTCCCTTTCCTCCACTGTGGGCTTGATTTAGATTCAGGAAAGCACTGTGCTCAAGGTAAGTGTAAGAAGAGATCTTTGCCTTTAGAGACACGCATCCTCCAGCTTTCAATCCTATTTGCAGTTCTTAGAGCAGGCTCCTCTTGCTTGAGGCTTTGCCTGGAGAGCTAACCATTATTCCCTGGTGACATTTCACTCTTCCTTTCAATGTTTGAACTTGCCTGCTGCAGCCCTTGCTGCAGAGTAAAGTAAATAGAGAAGACACATTGAAGGTTGACTCAGGAAATACCAATAAAGGTGAGCACTGATTCTCATGAAATATGAGAAAAAAGATCTGAAGTGAAATGCTTAAACATAAGAACCAGTTCCAAGAAAGGAAAAATACATTAGCATTTAATTTCTAAATAATAGGAACAAAATTCTACAATAAATCAAACAGTAGGGGTGAAAGAACAAAAATTCTTTTTTAAAAAATCAAAACTGGCCCGGTGTGGTGGCACATACCTATAATCCCAGCACTAGCAAGGCAGAAGCAGGAGGATCGTTGCGAGTTTGAGGCCACCCCAGGCTATATAAAGTGAGTTCAAGACCAGCCTGAACTGTATAGTGAGACCCTGTCTTAAAAAGACAAAAAAAAAAAAAATCAAAATTGTCTTTTTTGAAAAGTTGCCACAGAGGCAATGTCTTTGGTTTGTTCTTTCAAGAAGAACCAGAGGAAAAAAATTGGGCTCCATATAAAGTTGTTATCACTTTCACAATCTTTGATTTCAAAGAATGTGGTTACATACATGAAATAAGCGTTAAGCGCTTTGAATTGATAACAGGAAGTAATCCCCACCTGCATCATTTGAAAAAGGAGGTCAGTGCCTATTGGGTTAGATGTGTCTATATTAACAGGCTTTTTGAGGACATAAAGATGAAGTTAGACATATTTCTTGACCCTCTCTGCTACTTTAGACTTCTTTGTAAGATCTGGATTTGGGTAGAATTGTAGTGTAATGGGTACATGCTCTCTTTCTAAATTTTACTTTTAATTGACAAATAATAATTGTATATAGTTAAGTGGTATGGTGTGGTAGTTTGATATATCTATATGCGTATTATAGAAAAACTCAAAGTAGTGAGCATATCCATCACTGCACATAATTATCTTTTTGTGTGATAAATACATTTAACATCTTCTCTTAGAAATTTTGAAATATGTTAATTATAGTCACTATGCTATACAATAGATTACCAAAGTTTTTTCTTTATCTAACTGAACTTTTGTAATCTTTGACCAGCATTTCTCCTTTTCCCATCCCTGCCCTACCCCTGTCTCTGGTGACTACCATTCTAATCCCTACTTCTCTGAGTTTGACTTTTTTTAGCTTCCACATGTGAGTGAGATCATGCAGTATTTGTTTCTGTGCCTAGCTTACTTAGCATAATGTCCTCTAGGTTCAACCACATTGTCACAAATTACCAAATTTACTTCTTTATTAAGGTTGAGTAGTATTTTGTTTGTCTAATACCACATTTTCTTTATCCAATGATCTGTTGATAACACTTAGGTTGATTCCATAGCTTCGCTATTGTGAATAATGCTACAGTGAATAGGAGTGAAGATATCTCTTTAACATATTGATTTCAATTCTTTGATTACATATGCAGAAAAGTGGGATTGTTAGAACATATGGTAATGCTAGCTTTAGTTTTTTGAGAGAATTTACAATTTTTCAAGATGGAGGGACAAATTTACATTTCCCCTAACAATATACATGCTCTCCAACACTCATTGCCTTTCGTCTTTTTGGGCATAGCCATTCTAACAATTTGTGAATGGATATATCATTGTGGTTTTGATTTGCATTTCCCCAATAATTAATCATATGGAGCATTTTTAAATATATTTTGTTGGGCATTTATAGAAATGTCTATATGGGCCCTATCACTACTTTTTAAATCAGGCTATTTGTTTTCTTGCTACTAAATTATATGAATTTCTTGTGTATTTTGGATATTAACCTCTTGTAAAAGACAATGTGTAAAAGACAATACTTTCTTCTGATCCATGAATCTCTTTGTTCAACTTTGTTCTTAGCATAAACCAAGGACTTAAGAGATAAGATTCATACAGGTGTGCCATGAACTTGGGTATTATTTTTGTCCTCTTTTGACAGATGATGAAATGAGGGCTTAGTAAAGTTAAAATAAAGGCATTGTGATCAACTGTTCAATAAGTAGCCAACCAATTTCCAGCTTCCTAAACTGCTGGGAAGAGTTTTCTCCTTTTCGTCCAACCTTTTGTCGAGCTGGTACCTGGTGAACCATTAGGAGAATCTGTCCTGACCTATCAAACTGACCCTTACATTCAGTGAAGCAATGAGAATATTCAATTTAAGCTGAGTCAAATATTTCATCACCTAAGACCCTATTTATTCAAAACTCATTTGGTTGTAAAACAACTTGCCTGAACGGGTAAACAAGCAAATGGAAAAGCTAGAAACTTCCCTCAGTGTTTCAAGTTAATGATCAATAAGTCTGTGAAGCATGGGCTGGCAGTAGCAGGGAAAAGTTGAAAGTCCTTCTCTAATCCTTCACTTGGCAGAAGGATGAAAGGAAACCAGTGCTCTGTACTTTTCAGAGTGAGAACTGACTTCACTAAATGTCTTTTCTGGACTTCAAGGGTAATGCCAAAGATGGGAAAGAGCAGGTAATAGCAATCTCAGTGGTGTTTTCTTGACCCTAGAGAGCCCATTAACAAGCAGCATATAATAATCTTGTCACCTAAAATTACTGTTTCCATGAGCAATTAAAAAGGACTAATTATCCAAAACAATTTGTCAAAATGAAACCCGGCAGTTTTGCTACCATAATGCTCAGATTAAGTATGGAGGGTAGACTCTGGGGAGGGAGGAGCACCTAGTGACCAAGTGGTCACCGAGAAACCTGTCAGCTGACTGACCTGAGCATGGAATGTATGAAAACATGCAGATCTGAATGCAGAGCTTCATGTCCCTGAGCTGCACCAGGAATGCCCAGCAACTTGTAACCCCTTGGGGGTCATTTATGGTCTCCTTGAGAATCTGATGAAAGTTGTGATTGGAACCCTTTGCATACATATGCCTAAACATATAAAATATTTGTGTATAATTTTAGGAAGCTCCTGGTCCCAAAATCCCTGAAAACACAGAGATTGAATTAATGGTCCTAGAGGATGCTCTCATGTGTGAGTATGCTTGCAGTGGGGAAGGAGGATTAGAGTCTTAGTTACTTCCCCTGTCACTGGAACACATACCTGACTCCCACAAATTTAAAGAAGAAAAGTTTATTCTGGCTCTCAATTTGTAGAAGTTTCAATCTACAGTCCGCTGGCTGCAGAGCAGGGTGGCATGGCAGAGGGACATGGCAACAGAGGGCTGCTTATGGACAGGAAGAGAGAGCCTTCCAGCCATGCCCCCAGAAAACCACTTCCTCAGACCAGAGTTCACCTCCCAACATCACATCTAGCTATAGAGTCATCAGTGGGCTGATTCGCTGATGAGTATCAGTCTCCATGACTCGATGACCTTCTAAAAGCTCCACCTATGAGTGATGAGGCTTGGGGGAGGGGATGTCTAGATAAAAACCATAGCAATTAGCCTACAGGATAGGAGAGTAGAATTTAAATGAATCAAACAAAACTAAAGACACTGACTTTAATTAAAAATATATAAAATCTTCTAAAGCAGGAAGACAAAGGTTATTTTTAAAAATCTTGTCTCTGTAAAAGTAATGAGTGAAAAACATCTAAGAGGCAGGTTTTGAATGTTTCATCACAGAGAAAAGATAAATACTGTGGATAGGCTAATTAACCAGACCTAATCATTATACAACCACGTATAGATTGAAATTTCATACTACCTCCCATAAATTTGTGTAATTATTATGTGTCAATTTTAAAATCATAAAGGAATAGATGGAGTATTTATTATTTACACCTGATTTTCCAGATACAAGGCCTGGCTTTCTTGATAAAATAATGAGTATCTGCTCAACGTTTTTATTGTATTCCATTTTTACTGTGTCAGTCTCGGGATATGCTCAGCCCTAGGGTTTTGCTGATTTTGCACAGCTGTATGTTCACAACACAGAAAACAGACGAGTCTCCACTGACTTTTAGTGATGCGTATTTTAGTTCTTCTGTGCAGAGACAGCAAACCTTGTGCCTGCACAGACAGGCCATTGGCAAGAAGGAGCACAGCACGGTGCAAAGGGGCCTCAGTCTGAGCTGAGTTCCAAGTCCAACTCAGCTCCTCTGCCACGAGCAGGTGGGAAAGTTATTTGACCTCTCTGACCCACAGTTTCTTTTACTCTTGTGGCGTGAAGAGGGTTTCAATTGATTGTCTCATACCCTTCCATAACAATTTTTCAAAATCCTCATTTATCTCCTTTTTAGGGTTAAGAAATACTCCTCCAAATTTACCATAATATTTCATTTTTGTTGTAATATCTTCTTTACTTTATCATTATGACCCTGCAGTTCCCAGGGCCCAATTCCTTCATTTCTGGGGACAATAGAAGACTCTAAAAATGGAGTTAAAGTCAAACTTCTGCTCCCTTTTATTGAACAGTTGAAAAGTAATATGAAGATTGACTATATCCCCAAAGTTACAAGTATCTGTCAAAAGAAATAACGCTAAACTCTGCCTTTAAAGAATGGCCACTGTGAGTCAAAAACAGCTGAAGACATTGAAGAAGATTTAAGCAGAACCTAATCTTCAACAAATGCTAAGTTTTTTATATTCCCAGGCAAGTACGTGTCGGAAGGCAGCACTGTCTTTTAAAAAAATGCATGTAAATTGAATACTTATCACAAGACTATAGTGCAGAGGTATTATCATCTTTAATCAGAATGTTAAGGTAAAGTTAATTTTGTTTTATGAAAGGGGCAGATAATGATAGACAAGTGCATTATGTAGTGTTTCTATTGTACAACTTTATATTATTCTAAAGGTTTGGCCTTTTGATATAGACTAATTTGTGAATTCCACTATTTCTCTTCACCCAAATCTTTGTTAAAGCAGCATTGAGTTCCTAGTACCCTTGGCCAGAATAATGAGACCAGTAGAGGAACAGCGATTTATGAGGTTTGGTGACCCTATTCCAAGAAGTCTGTGCAACTAGAGAGTAAGAAGAGACCCAGGGATTGGAGCTACAGTAAAGAAGTATATATATAGATCTCACAGCAAGAGAAAGCTTGCCTGCTTTGGCAGTTAAGAAGCACTCCTGTTTTTCAGACAATTCTAAATTACTAACCTGACTGGGGAATTGAGGGCTGATTTGACATGGCCACTTTCCATGACCAAAGCTGTTTAGCAGCTATTTTTTTCAGTCATTCATTCAATAAATATCTCTTGAATGCCCACATGGCAGACATTGGTCTAAGTCCTGGGGATACAGTGATGACAAGCAAAGTCCCCATTCTTATGGTACTTATATCCTAATGGAGAGAGGTAATAAGTGTGTGCTCTATACATTAATATGCATAAATTAAAATATAAGTTAATATATAAACAAAATAGAAATAAGGTCAATAGAGGTAAATGTGATGCAGAGAAATGAAACAGAAGAACACAAGTGTGAGTGAGTGTGTTTGGGTGATCATGTAAGACTTCTCTGAAGGAGTGAGATTCATGGTGAGACCTGACATTAATTGTACGGATAAGAGGTAATGATTCACACGGACCTGAGATCTATCTGTACCAGGTAGACACACAAAGCTCTGCTTGTGCACTGGCCCAAACTCTGTGAGTGATTCCTCTGGAGTAGGACAAAGGATTCTCAGAAAACTTTTATTTATAAAAGATGTTATTTATAAACTGAAGCTATCAGCTACCACCTTGGCATGAATTCCGATGGTTTTCTAGTCATCTGCAGTATTAAAGAGACAGAGAAGGTCATGAGAGAAGGTTACCTGCAGAAGCAGGGTGGGTGGGTCACTACTCACTGTAGCAGAGAATGTGTTGTAAGTGGAGACAGGTCTTGGAAAGCCAATGACCACTGGGCTTTTGTGGCTGTGTGACATCCTTCCTCAGTAGATTACCATGGATATACCCTGCCTAACTTCCTTTGTTTCAGCAGCTGTTTGAGAATTCACCCTCAGCCCTTCCCTAAGGCAAGCTTTTTTGGCTCACAAAGAGTGGGCTGTAATTGGGTAAAATCAAGAGATGCCAGAGGCCAGCTCTCCAGCTTCACCACTGTGGGGGAACTGTGTTGTAAAGTGGTAAAGAAAGATGGGAACACGGTAGCAACTATGCATGGAGCTTTCACCTGAGAACTTGATGGCTGATCTTCCTGGGAGCAGTGTCCCAGGAGTCCACCTTTTAAAACAGAGCTGTCTGAGGGAAGTGAAAAGCCCCTGTCATCCGAAGAAATCCAGACATAAACATGCTCAAGAACTACCAAATTATAGAGGTTCAGATGCTACCTTTAGTGTGAATGCTGGCGGCCCAGAAGGGGTTTGCGTCATGAAAAGGCCGCAGCGGGCTGGAAGAGAGCTATTTGCAGGCTGAAGTCAGCTACCAGCCGCTTCAGCAGAAGCAGCAAAAAGAAAATGCAGCAGGGGGCAGAAGTACACGAAGGCAGAGGAAAACATGAGGGAGACGAACCTGCAGGTAGCAGGAAGAGCAAAAAGAACAAGGTCACACAGATTTGCGCCAAGGACAGGAAAGCTCTCTCTAAGGTTTCTGAAACATCCTAAAGAGAGAGTCAGGCCCTCAGTTCACAACTCGCTGGGCTCCACTGAGGAAGAGCTGGTAGTCACCTCCACACTGACCCCTGGTAGCCTGTCTATAATTCAGATTCTGTTCCTTTGTATATTCATCTCCACTTCGATGTAACTGAAGTGATCACTTGCTTCCATAAAAAAGAAATGTGAGGAGGCCTTTCCTGGACCAGAACTCTCTAAATCCCTGCAGGCTGGGTGCTGATGAACTGGTTGAGTTGCCACTCTCACTAACTCACAGAGAGAAAAGCAGATGCTGTTGTTTCTCGGCATGGGGTATTAGTCATGACATTCTAAAAAGAAAAATAAAGCATTTGCTTTTTGTCACTCATACGGTATAGAGCTTTGCATGTGCACATACCCTGAGACTAATATTCTGGTTTCTCTTCAGATCCCATAAATCTTTTGCTTTTTACATATTCTGAGACTAGAGTAGTTAAGGATGGTGATTCTACAGTTAACGTCTTTTTATGAACTGTAGCTTTTTAAAGTGTATTCTTAGAAGTGCTACCACATACATTTTATTTATAACATATATATTAAAATTGATTGACTATGAGGATGAATATTAGCATTCAAATACCACTTCTGATAAAAAGAACCACTATTGTGCTGTAATTTTTGTTGCTTCTTTCAAAAAGTTTTGAGTTTGTTTTTTAAATTTGGGCAGCAGGATGCTACTCTCTCAATGAATACTACTGACATCACTGGTTTCCCTGGCTTTTAATGTTTAACTAAGGACCTGTGCTTATCAGTGTCTTCTGCATGCATCCTCCTTGTCATCTCACTCAATGCATGGTTCTAAATGCCAAACATATGTTTCAGTTTACAATTTTATTCCTTCAGTCCAAACTCTCACCTGAACTCCAGATTCCTAAATCTACCTACTTGCCTGGCCTCTGTTTGCATGTCACTATGCCTAAGTCCTCACCAGTTTTTTTCTGTTCCAATTATAACCTCATCCTTCCAGCAGTTCTGCTTGTAAACACAGGAGCCATTCTGAACTCCTGGCTTTCTTCCAAAATTCACATCAAATTATCAAAAAGTCTTATTGGATTTATCTTCAGGTTGCTTCCAGAACCTATGTCTCACTACCTCCTCAGCTATGCCCGGCCATCACCTCACACTGGCCTGCTCATTTGCCTTCTTATTCTTCTCCTTGCTTCTCCCTGGCCCCATTAGGTTCTCCCCAACTCTGATCACTTCTCCATTCAAAGTTCTTGGGAGGCTCAGGGTTTCACACAGAGTGAAAGCCACAGACCTCACAAAGAGCAGTGACACAGTCTGCAGCCCTTCCAACCGTTCTCCATTCTTTACTACTCCTGCCCCTTCAAGTGCTCTGGTCTCTTCTTTGTTCTTCTGATATAACCTGCACCTCCTACTCTGTGGCCTCAGATTCACATTTAGCAGAATGTTCTTCCCCAGATATCCATGCAGCATTTTCCCAAATGCCACCTTCTCCTCCCATCCTCCCCTGACTGAGCTAATTAAAATTATGATTGATGGACTATTTTAGGATGATCTCATTTGCATCCTGTCTCAATAAATTCAATTGTAATAGAAGATAACATTCCAGGACTAGGATAAAGAAACTGAACTTGCTGTGGAGGCCTGGCTCCGCCATCAATAGCTGGTGCCTTCAGGCAGCTTGCTTTTGACCCTTGAGGACTGGTTTTCTCATGCGCATAATAGGCATAATGTCCTGTCCACTCAGAAAACATTATGAGATAATGTGTATTGTATATAAGTACAAGGCATGCATTCAACCCAAAGTAATATATAACTGAACCCCTTAATCTCAGTGGAAGTAGCTTCATGAAAAAGGGAAATGAAATCATTGGGCTCACCTTTTAGACCGCAGAGTCTGCACATGGCTGCAAATACTGTAGATTCCATTTCAATATTCCTGACACCAGCTTTATATGCTCTCGTCAAGTAATCCAACTTGTTTTCTCTAGAAAAAGAGCACAGGGCTCCATCAAGTCGACCTTGGCCTAAAAGAGAACCGAGATCCTTTAGCGACCTGACTGATGTCCCACAGCAATGGCATCACCAGGAGGCTTGCTAACAGCTGTCTCGAGCTTGAGCCTGCTCCTTAGGTAAGATAAAGCTGGCTGCTGAGTCTTCCTACCAGAAGACTGGGGAGCATGACTGTGCCCACCCCACTCTCTTATGTAGAGCAGAGTACATGGCTGAGTGCCCCATTCTGGAACCAGTGACCAATGAATGAGTGGTGGCAGCAGCTGGCACTATGCCCAGGAACAGCAGGAACTAAGGGGTGTTCCTGAGAGAACTGGGCTGTCCTCTGAGGACAACCTCAGGCTGCCCTGGTGACTGGGGTATGGTCCAGGTGGAGGCGCTGGGAGAGAAGGCCTCACAACTCAGTGATGTGCCTAACGTAACTGAGGGCTGGGATGATGGTCTGGACACTGCAGCTCTCTACATGGCCATCATGAGAGTGAGGACCAGGGCAGGAGATGGGACTGCCTTCCCTCCTCCCCTTCACACTCCTCTCGGGCTGTGGACCACCTCCCAGCGCTGACATTTTCCTCTCTAGATGGTGCCCAGTTCTCATGTATCGCTCATTTCACCAGAGTCAAGTGGTGGGGACAGAAGAGGTGGAGCAATGCCTGCTGTTCTACTCTGTCCCCTGTGCACACCCAGAAGCAGGCCTTGGCCCCTCCCCACTCCTAGGAGAGCTCAGCTTGAAGCAGGTGGGCTGCTAACACTCTACCATCATCCATTATGTGCAATCCATTTTGACCCCTTTCTTTCCTTCTTTCCCTTACCTCTCTTTCAGGTTGTTCCCACCCTGGCAATCAGCTTCTCCCCAGTCTTTCTCTTTCCCTAGCAGTGCTTGTCAATACCTCCAACAGAATGTTGTTTACACTGATTCAAACATATGTTCCAGAAGCCAAGCACAGGGTGGGCCTGGTCTGAAGCCAAGAACCTCACCTGACTCCCAGCATGTGTGGCCCAGACATGGCCCAGGACATGCCAGACCTGTTATGCACATTGTATATTTTTGTTACCTTATGCTATTACAAAAAGCCAAAAATCTGGATTTTCATATGAAATCTGCAGAAATTACAAATGTTGACAAAATAATTCACATTTAAAAAAAAATACTATCCAGGTCAAAGCAAACATTGACTCCACAAGTTACTTTTTGCAAGCTCTGTCTTAAAACCTCTCTAGGTTACCCTCCAGCTGAAGGGACAGTCAGCCCATGGCCTAGGAGAGAGGCTTTTACCCATGTCGCATACAATACCCCTCCTATTTTATAACAGATATGTGGTTAAACACCTTCACTCTCCTAAAATATAAAGTATAGATAATATAGCAGATCTCAATATATTTTTAAAAATTCAAAACAATACCTGAAGTTTGATCCAGTGGGATTATCAGAGTTATTTATAATGAAGTTATGAAATAATATGATTTTGATATGAACATAACTACACTAAAAGATTTCCTAAGTGCTCTCCCCAGCATGTACCAATCCCATGACAATTCTTTCTTCTGGAATGAGCAGGATCTGTCCTCAAATGGTTTTATTTGTTTGTTTGCTTGTATTCCTTGCCCCTCATCCCTTGGAACAAGAGCTGCTGCTTAGCTGTCATGCTCAATTTGTCTATAAACTTGGTATGAGGACCTTTTACTCATACTGAGATAAAAGCACAACGCTGAAACCATTCCATCCTTGTGGGATTTGTTTCCCAAAACACTCCCCCACCATGTCCTGATCTCCACCTTTGCTTAAGTATTAGATTCTTTTGAGATACAGGAATATGGCAAAAACAAAGAATCAGTATATGTTCCTTCCCCTGGAGTCACCAATTCAGTTAAAGGCATGAATAGAGATAAGATTTTGTCAACATCACTAATTGCATTTTAGTATTCGATTTGCTCTTAGAAGATTGAATAATATAAATTCATTCTGCATGTTCTTCTGCTGCTTGTGAGGTATTTATGTCACTATGCTTTATAAGTTAAAAGGCTGTGGCAGTTCCTTTTATAATCATTAATTTTCTAGAGTAGAGTTTTTAATATAAAGTATAGGTTTGAATAACAGAGTTGCTGGAGATTTTCTCCATTGACCATTTATGAATTATTCTCACCTTCATAAAAATCATAGGTACACATTGTATGTCCAATGAGGGCTGGGAAGTTGGGAATTTTTTTGCTACAGTTGAATAGTTCTTCAGCCAGCTCCTTGTCAAGTTCAGTACTTCGAGTGACCACATTGTCCAAAATTACCTGCTCAAATTGAGGTTTGAAGAAGGAGTCCACAGCTGTGTCTGTTATTACAACAGACCCGGGTGCAATCCCTGCAATATGGTAACAAATAAGTATTTAGAGGAATATCATTTAAAGTTTGGTTTTGTGACACATAGTAATAACCTATTCTGCCAACATTAATTAATGCTAATTGCTATAGATTCTCCCTGTTTTCTTCTTTAAGGTTATTTTCTTTTCCAAATGCAATTAAATAAGACTCAGAACAGGCATTTCCATTTGCTGTCTTTCTGGATTCCCATTTGCAAAGTGATGAGGTTTAGATTTCAAGACAAACATGACTCTTGGACATGTAAATTAGTACCAGTCTTGAGGCTCAATTTTGAACAAACTAGGTCAGGAATAAACTAAATGAGCCTGCCAGCAAGTAGCTTTCATAAAGTGATGTGACTACTTGATATTTAATCTTCTCTGCAACTCCTTGATTACTATAATTTCTTGGCATCTCTTTCTGTCCTCTCTTCTTTCTGATTCTCATCACATTTGCTCAGTCTCCTCCCTGACTCCATGTAAATTAAGCTGCTTGGCTGACCTTCCTTGCTACCAAGTCTGGCTCACTTAAGGGACTTAGCTTATGGGAGAAACAGTGTTCTGTCAACTCTTCCCGTGCCTGGCTGGAATCCATTCACACCCTGCCCAACACCTTTTCCTCAACGAACACCCATTCATCTTTCAGGTGGCAGCTTCAGTCACTTCCTTCAATAGGCCTGCATCCCTGGAGGGAGAGCCAAGCCAATAAATAAAAATAAGAGGCAACACAGGTTACATTAAATTTCCCCAGGCCACCTGTGACTCAATCTTGGGTTCATTCTGACTTCTATTTAAATCCCAATTAATGAAATATTTCTTATCATTAGAGTGCCCTAAACTCTCTCTGTCTTAACACTCATGCACTTTTGTGTGCATGCGTGTGTGTGTGTGTGTGTGTGTGTGTGTGTGTGTGTGGTACTGGGGATTGAACCCAGGGCCTTTATGCTTAGCTACATCACCAGCACTGTTTTTTATTTTTTTTAATTTTGAGACAATATCTTGCTAAGTCACTAAGATACTCAGGCTGGACTTGAACTTGTGATCCTCATGCCTCACCTCCCTTTTTACAGTTATATACTTGTTTTTCTATTTCTCTGATAGAACACATGTTCTACAAAGATGATAACAATATCTACTCACTCCTAACACCCCTGGTATAGCACTGCACTTGTCACATTGGAGTTACTCAATAGAATTTTTTTGGATGAGTAAATGCTTCTATAGAGGTGCCATAGAGAACAGGTGTGCAAACTCCAGTCCACAAGCAAAATGCCAACTGTTTTTGTAAATAAAGTTTTATTGTAACACATAGTCATCTAAATACTGTCCTTTGCTGTCTGTAATCTACTGTATAGAATTCAGAAGTTGTGACAGAAACCATGGGGTCTGCAAAGCCTTAAATATTTACTATCCAGCCCTTTGCAGGAAAAGTTTGCTAATCCCTGGTAGGTAACAGATCCAAACCTGAGTGATATAAATTCTAATATTGATCAAAGTAGAGTTAATTGCAGAATATTTTAGAAGACCCAAGGAGAGACCCAAGATGGCTTCTGAAGATAGAGCTTCAATGGATCGGATACTTCTTACCTAATAAATGAGTGGCTTCCTCAAATGTTCAAATTATTCTACGACTAGGAAAGCAACGGAAAAGGAAGTTGAAGATGAGTGCATCCAAAATGATGTCCTTTATGCTCCACCTTAATATTTACATGCATTAAAGAATTTATTTCATGGTTAAATTTTTTCAAAGGGGAAAATAGTATTTTACCAAGTGCCTTGTTAAGGTGTGTTCACTCTTTCAAGGAATGAGGATGTCAGCAAAGGCATGTGCATCTCTTTCATCTCCAAATGCAATATTGCTTAAAATAAAACAACCTAGTGCATCCTGTTTATAAGCAAAGAGTTCCTAATAAGAATATAACTTTAAAAATGAAGATGTTCACGCCAGCACCATGGATTAATTTACCACTACTCATAGGCTTTCATTGTGATTTTGTTTCTGTCTGTGTGCAGTATGGATAATGTTGCCATGAACTAAAAGACCATGACCATGAGCTGAATGGTCACCAGAGTGGCTTACCCATACTGGACACTCGTGAACACCAAGTGGCAACTGCACTAGTCCAGATGATGCTATGTAAGGGTGTGCACTATGAAAACCAGGACTTGCACACCACAACCCAAGTACAATGAGAAACTTTAATAACAATGCTATCCATTTCATTCCCAGATGCATTATTCCCTGTTGACTATGTGAGGTACTCTTGGGTTAACTACAGTCTAGGGATCTGATCTAACTCTGATTGCTCACATTTTCCTTTCACTCTGAGTGGACATCCACATATTTTCTTTCTCCCACGTGTAAGGGGCCTTGGCCAGACTTTAATCCTGAATCACTGCCTTATCTTATTGAAGAATGGCTGATTTTTAGTGACTGTGTCATTGGACATAGCATTTCTCTTTTTTTTTTTTTTTTTTTTTCCTTTTTTGAGATTTCTGAGGTCTCTTCTTCCAAAGTTGTATAATTTTAAGGCCATTTCTCTCCCAAACTCTGTCTTTTGTATAATATTTATTTAATCTTGTCACTCTGACAACCAAACCTTTCCAATTATAGTAGCTTATTTGTGTTTGCATTTGGTGACATGATAAAATCACTCCCTGACAAGACCTTCTCTGTAAGAAAGAGCTGAGGGAGGAAAGGTTTCCTCAATACTTTATCTCAGCACAATTTAGAGGTATAAGTAAGGTTCCTTGACAGCTGCCTGACCCACCAAAGAAGAGGAGAGTTGGGGAGGTTCTGGGAAAATGTTTGGAAGCATCACCTGACCTTCTCTAAAAAGCTCATCCTGGTCTCTTTCTGGGGTACTGATGAGCAAAAATATATCCAAGAAAGGGTTGTAGTCACCGAGATGAGCCAAAAGCAATGGTTTCTTGAGAGCTCTGAGTTCTGCTTATTTAGCTGATACAACAGGTGAATCTTTGTAACGTCTTCACTTGAACACTTATTTTTGTCACATAAAATTTCCAAACTTCAGAATTTAACCTTATCCCCGAAATATTTTCTAGCACTTCTTCTGCTCATCCCTATATGCACCTCTGAGACCATTTGGGAGTTAAGCAGTAGTATCTCTTCCTACAGATTTCCACAGAGGAAAACAGAAAAGAAAAAGGCAATGTGGGTAGATTTTCTTACATTTCCTCAGTTTCAGCCTCCTAAAGCTTTTGAGTCCATCTGGGTTTCTGCTGGGCTGTACGTTGGTGTACTTTGAATGAACGTAAGCATGTATGTGAGAATCACCTAGTTTTAATGATAGGAATCAATCCGTCTCACCTATTCCCCCTGATGTACCCATCCTGATCATAGTAACGTCACAGCACCGTGCATGATGTAGTAATTTGATAAGTTCGTGAAGCATAATGGAAATTGAAGGGACGCCCATGCCGTGCTGTCAAAAGAAAAGAGAAAGTCATTATACATCACACAAATGGATACAGGAACAGGACATATTTTCTTCCTTCATTACAAGTTAACAGCCCTCAGATAAATTTACATAATCATTAAAACTTTGCCAACGCTGAGGAAAACGTAAGTCAGCTCTAATTGACGCCTACATGACATACTGATGGATGTGTCCATCTGTGAGGATCAGAAAGAGGCATCTTGCTGCCAGTTAAATGGAGCCCAGTCCTCACTGTCAAAAGCAGAATGTAGGGGTGGTGTGGTATACCAGTGTCAGGACAGTGCCATTTCTGATCTCACCATAAGGTTCTTTTCAGTAACTCTGTGTAAAGAGCTTTTGCACAACCGAGGTAGTATGGAGGAAACATAATTTTGGCTGCCATGTTACCAATGCTTCTCCAACATAGTAAGCGAAATAATAGAACCATTTCATTGTTCTTATGTGGCCTTCTCCACTTACTGTTAATTGTCTGTGCTCACTGAAAAGTCCTAGGGAGAAAGATAGTAAGATTCCCACCAAAGAATTTGCAGCTTATACTGAACATGTAGGTGAGTTTAAATTGCTACAGCTCATGACAGTAATTCTGGTTTTCTTCAGTATTTTGAACAGTAGAATCAATGTGATCTGACTAGGGATCAACACAAGCTCAGAGGATTCAGCAACTCATGGTGACTATGTTGTGTTCTAATAATTCTTTAGAAAGATCTTCTATACTGTCTTGGGTGAAAACTGGATCTCGGTTTCATACTGGTGACTACTTCATTCCTCATGTAAGAATAGAGGGTCAGATGGCTCTGCTATGAATTCTACTCTTGGGCACAGAGTAGACTTGGCAAAACCACTGGAGCTGTACCCAGTGGAGAATGTCTTCATCCAAGTTCCTTCCTTCTCCACATCAAGGATGTTAAACAATGAAAACTCTGGACCTCTGGGTTTGCCATTTTTGGTCATCCAAAATGTCCTGATTTGTGAATGCATCATAAGCCTCCTGGAGCTAGGCATCACACTGTATTGATTTGTATGTTTAAGATTAATGAGTTTGGGGTGTTAGCACTGGCTCTGCAACTAGTAAATAAACCAAAGATAATTTCTTCAACTATAAATTAAGATGATAGATTATTGTCTGACCTATTAGACTCCTTCTAAATCAGATACTTGAGAAGTTTATGAGTATCACTTATTTTGTGATATGGTAATAAAATGACAAATGAACTTTATATGTTCTTGGTAAAGTTATGCTCTCTCTTCCACACACACACAAACTCATTCACACTTCTTGACAGCTATCAGAGGGGAGGAATTTTCAAACGGTCCCCACTGGGGATCTTTTGCCTGCCCAGCAAGGGCCATTTTTAATCGGCTCACCTTGGCATGGTACACATTTCACGTCCTTTCCCCTGACAGGATAGGAGGATTAGTCTGCTGCTGTTTTCACGTCTTTCTGAAGTTTTACTGCACATTTATGGTAGTTCTACTTTTTTAATAAACCTTGCTTCTTTGTTCTCCCCCATTTACTGTGCACAAAAGGACAAATGGTTATAGTCTAAAAAACCAGCAAAAGTTACCACGACAAGATTTGCCAGGATCAGAGGATATTCTGCTTCCTTCTACAGTAATGCAGATGGCCTATAATTATTGATTGGATAAACTCACTTGAGCCCAAAAACCATTTCAGGCCCTCCTGGCCTAAAAGGGAGATCAACTTGGCTGCTCCACTAGCTCTGTATGCTCTTTCCTTTGTTGACCCAGGCTTCCAGCCATGATCACCACACTCTACCACTGAGCGCTGCGGGCAATCTGAGTGGTAGTGCATGCTGACTGTCCTTGCTGTGGGTCTGCTCCTTGAATTGTCATGCCTCTGTAGGATGCTCCCTGTGTCCCTTCACATGCCTGCCTGTATCCATTAGGAGGGCTGTCTCATCCAGACATATGATGTGCTCCTAGTTATTACTTCAGAATCTTGCCCTGTACAGAGACAATCTGGGAAAGGTGTGGGTGTGTACACACAGATACCCTCCTAAGGGGTACCACTTACAGGAAATGGTCTGCAGGTTCCCTAAAGCTTCAAATCATGCCACTTTTGGGTTTTCTTAGGACAGTGTGTGTCTCTAGAACTGTTAACATATTCTAAATGAGGGGCAAACAATTCACAAGGGCTTATTGGAAATGTACCAGCAGCTTCTCAGAAAGCTTATTTTAGTGTTTAAAATCTCTGTTTTAAGTACTTCTAAAAATTGGCTCCTATGTACTAAAAACTCAACATTCCCAAACCTGAATAAGAGGGAGAGAGAAGATGGATGGGGGAAGGACATCAATCAGGTACAAAATAAGGGGGGTTGCGTGAATGCCTTGAGGGTTTTATTTCATAACTTGAATAGCTAAATGGTGACTACAAAGTAACACTGCATGCTATGCTGTGCCCCCAAAATTTCTCTGGTAACAGCTATCATACTTGAGCACATAGTTTAACTGAAATGCTAAGCGGAGGAGGAGAAGAATTGCATGCAGAAACCCTCGCTTTGTTCTCCAACCTGTAAGGACCAGCTGATACGCCACCACTGCGCACTTACACTGATGCACAGCACAGGGCCAGTTTTGAACATGCAGTATCTGTCAGTTCCAGCACAGATGTCTTCAATATCTTCTCCACCTTCCACCGGCCCGAGCTCCTTGTGCATGAACAGTGCAAATGCTTTCATTCTGTTGGGGCTCCCACCGACGCAGACAAACTGTTAATACAAATAAACAAGTGCCTTCCATAGTAACTGGAATAAGAACTCAGGGGCAGCTTTCACCTGTAATGTTTTTATCTAATATTCTATTAATTTACTTAAGAGAATGTGGAAATGTCATGGGTTATGTTCACAAACAGCTAATTTACGTCATTAACCAGTAAAGAAGGCAAACAGATGCAAAGTTTTATACACCAAATTAGTACAGAAAATCACACAATCATCCTAAATATTGACATTGTTCAAGGAGATATTTCCTAGTGTTTTTTTTATTTATAGTAACATCAATCAGCATCTTAAATTAATATAATCAGCCTAGTGTTGGGGAGTAACACAATATGTGCTTAGTATGTAAGTACTGAGGATATGGAACGTAAGTAATATGAGAACAAAGGAAGAGTCACCAGTTTCACATGTGTTTTCTGATTCTACATCCGCATCATAAACTTTTATTTTAAAATGTTGTATGATAATTTTAAACTATAGAGGAGTCATATCAAGACTTCTCAACTTCTCATTCAGAAGAAATTCTCATGGAGCAAGCCTTATTATAAATCAGAATTTTACTGCAGTACTTCACCCATTCCGGTGATTTCTGTTTATTTCCGTTTTATTCACATTTAACATCTCTGAAATTAAGGTGGTTGTTGCAATCTCATCTAATAAAATACAATAATAAATCTGGCAGCTGCTTCATGCAACAGAGTAGATGCCGGAGAAAGGGGCAGAGCGGCCTTTTGGTGGCAGGGATGAGCAGCCAGCTGGGTGAGCACCGGAGTCAGCCTTGGAGAAGATGAGCTGCAGCAAACGGTCACAGAGCCGGGAGGAAGTGGAGTCCACAGATGGCATCAGATGCGAAGTCACACAGGAGCCCAAGCTAAGCAGTGTGGTGCACAGAGGGTGAAGAAGCCCCAAGACAAAGAGAGAAGGCCACAGAGTGGTCAGGGGCTGCCCTGGGAGGCTGGGAAAACTTGGCTTTGAACCTGTCCTGCTCACTGAGTAAGAAACTTGCTCAATGCTCCATATGTAATCTCTATGCGCCTCAGGCCATCTCCAAAATGGGAAAACACATCGTCCCTCAGGGGGTTTTATTGGGTAAATTGTGATTGCATATAGCAGAGGACATCACATAAAAATGGGCACCTTCTCCACATTTCATAAATGGTGATTATTATTTTTCTGTGTTATGCAACAATTTCCTGGTCCTTCTTTTAAACTTGCTCATTGTTTCTGTGCTGCAGAGTTTAGTACAAATGAAGCTGATGTGAATCCAGAGTAAGGAAAAGGCGGTTGTTGGTACCTGCTGATGTGAGCACATCGGGCAAAGGATCAAAAGAAAGCCAACAGGTCTTCACAGGGATAACGATCCATCTAAGGAACTACCCGAGCAAGGTTGCAGAGTGAGCACCCCTGTGGAGGACCACCTAGGTGACTCTCCTTAAAAGAGGAGAAATTGCCTCCATTTTGGCTGAGCCTGACCCTATCTCCATGTATTAATATGTATAAAACTGGCTAGGACTTTTCCTTACCCCTTTAATTGGCTTTAAGCAACGTATATGGTCTAGCCGAGGTGCTGATGGTAATCTTTGGAGATGGCAGGTATGTTTTCCTGACCCTGCTTCTCCCTTGAGTGAGCCAATATGGGGCGGGATATATGAGCCAATGCTCCACACTGTCTGCTGGGATCAAGCCTTGGGAATACAGGTTATGACTTCCTGGGGCTTCAAAGATTACACATCAGATCTAAAGCATCAACCCTCAAAACACTAGAGGCTATCTCAATTGTGTTATATAGATTACTCTTCCTGCATATGCTTCTCTCTGCATTTGCAGAGGTGATTTCAGGCTTCCTACCTAGCCAGCTCATGGCACTCACATATTTCTCGCCACTCTCACAGTCACTCATCCTCAAGCCACTCCCTTCTTTACAAATGAATAAAATCTGTGTTTGGTCCTGGGCGTAGGCCTTTGTTCCAGGTGGCTATCATTGTGGCTGGACTTAGGACCCCTTGGCTCCCCATAACTACAAACATGCCTTAGTGTCTTTATTCTCGCCATGGGTTGCACTGGAAGTGGTAGATTGGAATTAACTCACTAGAATTCCAATAACGTTTCATGGGATTAAAAACACAAACTTCCTGGGCCCTGATGAGGACTAGAAAGGGCTCCCTATACACCCCCATTCACAAAAATGACTGTAAGTATTGGGTGGTCTGATTACATGGTGCATTCTGTTTCTATTTAGCAGTAATTCCTGGGCTGCACACACTCCTTTTAAATTATGGAATGTAATTATCCTTTCCTCCAGCCTCTCTGCTTTTCATCTACCCTTACTATTGTCTTTGCTGTGGCTTCTTAGGAGTTTCTCTGATGGGGCCTTAATCCAGTAACAAACTGCAATGGAACTCAGCCATAAAAGCTGGATAGCAAAACAGATAAGATCACTATTTCAGGTGAGTCCTTCAATCATTGATTATTTCTGGATTTTTCTTCTCTGTTTGTATGGCTAGTTACATTTTGGCTCAAGATCTAAGTGGAAGCAGACCTTTAATTTTTAAAACAAAATATAGTAGTTTGAAAATAACTTCACTATGTGGTACCATTGAATGTAAATTACAACTGTTTGGACCAACCATAAAACCAAAACAGATGTTAGAATAACTTGTGGTTTGAATTTTTCTCTGATCTGTAGATATTGCTGTAATCAAAAGGAATTTCTGCATATTTCTGGAAACATGAAGGTGAGATGCATGGACAGAAGCAGCTTAGTTCTCGAAGGCTTGCTCCTATACGAGACTTACTAAACATCACCTCTGGACACAATTTTCAGTCTAGCTGCTTTAATGAGAAGCAAAACATGGCAAAGGACCACCAACCAACATCAACCTTCAATGGCAATTACTGGGATTTATGACCCCAAGTTTATCTTTGTCCTGGTTTTATTAAGGAAGATAGAAATGCATTAGAAGCGAGTCAGGGCACCATAAAAACATGTTATGGACTTTGCCTGATGAGTGTCAGAACAAACTCAATTTCATATATCCCCACTATCTTAAAGGCTTAACTTTGCCATTGTGTACTGTTCTAATACATAAATGCAGCTTATATATTTTATATTATGTGTGGTAACACAGGAGTATAAACACTTTCAAAATGCATATTATACAAAGTTTTATAAAGTAATGACTTTTTGTGGTACTTGAAGTTTCTAGGGCTAGATTAGCGAGTCCCAGTTAATGACTTTATAAGATGCTTACAGAGGACATTATAAAAGATGTATTTGGATTCTAAGTTTGAAAATTAACTCCTTTTTCTTAATAACTCCTAATCAAGATCCTCCACCATGTTTTTCAGTTGTTTGATTCTTTCCAGTGAGTATGGCTGATACCAATGAGCCATTAGCCAAAACTGACCCAGTTAATCTTAACTTCCTAGGCTCCCTTCCAGTTCATTGAGGCCATATGTTGAGTTCCAGCCACTAGAATATGAGCAGAAGCGATTCTTGCCACTTGCAGTTTGTGCCCAAAGAGGGTATGCTGGTGATTCTACATTGAAGCAGTCTTACCTTGACATCCCCAAACATTTCTGGTAGATTATGTGTTTTGGGGCCTAAATCCAAGTGATACTGCACAGAGTCAGACAAGCAGAAGCCACTCCACAGGTGGTAAAGGAGAGACAGACATAAAAAAAAAAGAACATAATCCATCTTAAAAATATACCCTAAGAATGAGTCCCAACTCATTCTTCCTGCTGCTGGATGGGGACCTGGAGAAACTGCAAGCCACTTCTTGGAGGCGACAAAACAACAAGATGGAAGGAGCTGGATTCCAGAGCCCAGTTTGAGGAAAGCCATCCATCAACTAGGAACGGCTACTCTCTATTTAACGGGAGCAAGAAGTAAACGTACATCATGCTAAGTCTCTGAGATTTGCAGTGGCGGGTGGTAATGTGAAGATATGAAGGAAATAAGGGTGATTGTCAGAGTCTTTCAGGTTTAAACTTTACATGTCCAGAATTCTCCTTCCTTTTGAAAATAATGTTGATAATAATCATCATCATTTCTGTGAAGACAAGGCTGAGGTTTCAGGTACAATAGATTATGTACCCAGCCATTGCTGTCCTGAGATTTAAGGGAGTAATAAATTGAACCTAGAATGTTCTCATTTAAAGAGAAGAATGTGGCCAAAGGAAGACTAGGTCCTGATAAAAACATCTGTGGAAATAAATAAAATTTTACCTGCTGCCTCCATAACATTCTGGTTTAGATTAGACAACCAGTTCTGACCATTTGAAATCATGTCATCTGCTCATCACTCTAAACACACACACACACACACACACACACACACACATGCACACACTTTTGTCTCCTATCAATATAATCCAATCAGTAGAGTTGCTCTTTGGAGGGCTAAAACAGATTGTAAACAGAACGTTCTTTTACACAAAATGAATCTGCTGAAGTTCCACATCAGATGGGTGGAGAGCTTGTAAGTCTGGAGAGTAGTTCTGACAGAGTGTGAAAATAAGTGCAGATGAAAATCCAGTCAGGCAGAGAAACAGAGAATAAAGGCCTTGGTCCTGGGATTGTAACTGAGGTGAGGGGTGTGTGTGTGTGACTATTTTCATCTCTAAAGCAAGCCCATTGATTTGTCAGAAATTGACAAAGTACCAAAATGTAGTGGTTTTTTTTTTTTTTTAATGTTGGAAGCACCATTACTTTTTTCAATCAGAGAAACCTAAGATTTAGTCCCAACTCATTCACTTACCAGCTGTGTTGTGCTTATTATTAACAGATAAATAATGATTTTGTATACTGCTATGTATTTGTTTGAACCCCAGTTTCCTTATGTAGAAAGAGGAGATAACAGCTCTGTAGAAACTGTGGAGACTGAATGGTATACATTTGCGGATACTGCACAGAGTCAGAGAAGCAGAAGCCACTCCACAGGTGGTAGAGGAGAGACAGACGTTAAAAAAAAAAGAACATAATCCATCTTAAAAATATACCCTAAGTCTCTCTAACTTATGAGCTACATGCATAATTGAGTTTTTAGGTTATGCTGAGCATTTTATTCATCAAGATAATCCCTAGATTACCATGGGAAAACAGCTATGAGGCAACTTGATCAACGACTCTTGGAGCATAAGCATCAGAAACAGTGTAGGGAGAAGGTAGAGCAGAAGACAGTGGAGGCTACATGAAGGCAAGGAGCAGTAGTCTGGCGGGCGATGGAGAAAGGGCCAGGCGTCTGCTGTCAGGATTCTTCCCGCAGCCCTGCTCACCACTCTGTAGGAGAAAGGGAGGAGGAAACTGGGCACCTACTGGTAATGAGCATCATAGGTCTATTTCTTCTTTTTTTTTTTTCCTTTTTCTCCTTTCCTTCCCATTCCTTCCTTCCCTTCTCCTCCTCCTTCTTTTCTTCTTCCTAACCTCTTTGCCCCTCTTCCATTTGATTAATGGACTGTTTGGGTTTACTGTAACTCAAAAATGCTTCCTAGTGCAATAAGCAAGAACCCTACACTGAACATGGAGGAATGTGGACTGTGTCCCAGCTCTGCCCCGCCACAGTATGACTTTAACCTCTCTGGACTCAATTTCCTTGCTTTATAAAACAGGTCAAGATCAGCTCACCCCACATCAAAGACTTAATGTGACAATTTAATGAGATAGCAGATATGAAAACTTTATTTGTATTATTATAATTGCTAAAAGAGGGGGAAAAAAGGTTGAAAACTGTACAGCTTTCCACTGATGGGGTGTAAATATGTATAGGCGTTTGGCAATTTATTTTTTCTTTAACACTTCATTCTCTTTGATCATTTCTGTGAATCATGCTAAACAGGCCTAAATGTGCAAAATCCTTAGGAACAAAAATGGTCACTTAGGTCTTGTTTATAAAGCAAAATATTTTAACATGAAACTTGATAATAGGCTTTGCAATTTATGGCACAGCCACTTTTTTAATTGTTTGTTTGTTTGTTTTAGTTTTTTTCCGGTACCGGGAATCAAACTCACAACCTCATGCTTGCCAGGCAGGCGCTTGGCACAGCCACTTTATCTCCTTGAACAATGTGTTTCAAAGAAAATGTAGTAACACGAGAAAATATTAATGTCATAAAATTCAATGAAAAATATAGGATACAAAGTTATACCATTTACAACTATTTTAAAATATACTCATTAAAAATATTGAAAGAAAAGAAATGGATGGATAATCTATTTGTTTTGGTGTGGGACTATGAGATGTGTTTTTTAAAAAATCATTATTCTTTTTTATATTATCTTAATGAACATGAATTGTTTGGATCATTCAAATATATAAGATGAGGTAAATTATAGAAAAATCCAATTTTCTTGGCAGTATTATATGAACAATTTTCTTATGAAGTTAAAAAAATCAATATGAAATATTGTACAATGATTATTTTCAAGAAGTAGAATAATATGGTATTGTTAGCTTTGTTGAATTCTTTTATGATGTAATAAAATGAGAATTAGTGAGGTTCCACAGTGAATGTGGACATTAAGTACTGAACTGAATCTGTTAAAACATAATGAAGTCTGAGCACCCAGCAGTAATGCTAATAAAACTGCATTTATCTCCAGGAGCCTGTGCAGCCAAATAATCATGCTTGTGCTGGATCTAGTTTGGGAACCTTTACCTTGTTGGGGTGGAAACATTGTGCATGATGTTCACTTTCCAAACTGTTTCAGAGAGCTAGTACAGTTTTACTTCCTACTGGGACCTCTGACATTTTTCTAGCCAAGGGTGTGAAGTTTATTTTGGGAAAGTAAGGGAAACATTAGCAAAAGAAACTCAATCATTTTCCTACAGTTAGAAACAGTCTTACCTTAACATCCCCAAACATTTCTGGTAGATTGTGTGTTTTTGTGCCTAAATCCAAGTGATAGAGGATGTCTTCATCCATCGTATCCAAGTAAGGATTCTTAACATGAACAAAACTTTTCCTAGAAAAAAAACACACACACCCTAAAGAGGCTATAAGGGAATTTTGGGAGAAAGTACACAAAAGATACCAGATATCAGACTACAGCTTTCATTGCCACTAACTCAAATACTTGATACAAGCCTTCTTTTATATTTAAATATGGTGTAATAATGTCTGATATTTGTCATATAAGTACTGTGTGCCAGGCATAGAACTAAGCGTGAAAATGTTTCAGTGGCATGCAACTGCATGTAATAAATACATTAACTCATTTGCTGTCATAACCACTGTATTCTGTAAGGAGCATTAGTAATCTGATTTACAAATGAAGAAGTCAAGGCTTACAGAAGTTGACAAACCTGAGTGTACATTGAGTAGATCACAAAATAGTCATCTCTGTTTCAGTTCATTTTCCCCTTCTTGGTCTTCTTTCTCTGCGTGGAAGACTGCTAAATACAAGCTCCTGAGCTCTGGAGTCAGACTGTACAGGTTCCAGTACCAGTTCAGGCACAGAGATTCTGATTGTGCAACCTTGAATAAGTTTTCTTTGTTCTTTCATTTCCATGCCTGTGTATTGGTTATGGTAAAAACTATTCCTCCGCAAGCTTATTGTGCCGACCTCTGAGTTAGGTATTTGTAATATACCTGGTGTGCAGTGAACATTGAGTAATGCATCTCATTGTGCTTCCCCATCTCATTGTGCTTCCTAATCCAAAGAGTAATAGTCTTAGCGAGACTGACCAGAAAGAGAGTGTGGTGAAGAACGCTAAAGTTCTTTCATTTCTGTGTGTATCAAAGCTAATTCTTTTTCCTCCTGAGTACATTGAGAAACCAGTGGCCTTTCAGTGAGATGAAGTCACATGATTGAGTTGTGGCCAGGGAGTGTGAGCTGAAGTGATTTGCCTGCTTCCAGGTGTGGCTCTGGTGAAAGTACTGGTTCTGTCAACAACCATGGGAGGTAAACACCCCTCCTTACCAATCAACTATTTTGCATTGAACACAAGCCACTGATTTCCTAAACAGCATTAGCTTGCCTGACCAAGGAGGGCTTATTAGTTTTGGTCAACACACTGGGACATGATGTTTGTCCCTAGTGGGGACTAAATGTAGCAGGATGATGAAGTAGAAGAGAAGAGATGAATAGGTTCATGAAGAGACTGAATCAGAGTATAACAGGAGCAAAAAAAAAAAAAAAAAGAATTAATGGCCAAATAGTTCTGGAGAAACAAAGATTTAGAATTAAGAAAAGAAATGCTCAAAATGAAGTATGAAAAAAGAAATGCTCAAAATGCAGTATGAAAGAAAAAATGTGGCTAAAGAGCTTAAAAGGGGAAGGACAAAGTGAAAGACAAACATAGGAAACCAGAAGAATACAAACCTGTTGCAATAAGTAAGTGAACCTTACAAACAGAAAGGAAGATGAGGAGTATTCTTCAGTACAGAAACTGTACTGTCAATTCCACTAGATACCAGAAAATGCAGAACAGGCTGCAGAAGAACCAATGGCAAGACATGCTTGCCATAAAGAAGGAACCATCGCTGGAAAACCTTATAGCTGTTCTCAGTGTCAACCTGGCATTTGTGACAGTGTGGCTCAGTGGCCGCCTGTTCACTCCCGGAAACCCTGGGTGCACCTTCTCAGCCTCAGCCTGTGGCTGGCAGCTCCCTAGCAGCCCCCACTGCACAGTACTGCATCTCTCATAGGCTTACGCTCCTACGGTTTCCCTGTGTCCTGCGCAGGAGACATTTCTCTGCCTCTCTGCATACTTCTTGTCCTACTTCTCAGCTTTCCATGGAGTTTTGTATATCTCTGTGTCTCCGTGTACTTAGATATGTAGCCTACGAATCCTCTAGAATCTTTCAGCTCCACAGACCAGTACTTTTTAAATTATTGTGCCTAACAATTATCTGAACAACTCCTCTTCCAGAAATCCTGACTCAGCAGGCTGGGTGTAATATTTTTTCTTTTCTAACAACTGCTCACTGTGTTAATGTTGCTGGTCTGTGGGATACACTCTGAATAGTACTGCCTTTGAAAACTCTACCAACCATGCAAATTCATCACCTCTTTTCCACAAAAGGCCACCACCCCAGCCCAGACCCCCATCAAGGTACTGCTACCTGAACTGCCTATCTTTCCTCTCTTGTTTGTTAAAAACTATCGAAAGAAGGCAGCAGCTACTGCTATGCAACAGGTCCTAATTCAGTCTAATTCATATTTATAAAGCACTTTCTCCACAGCCTTTGGTTATTTCAATACTAACTATATACTACTCTAATTATTAGGGAAAATAAGTTATATACCCCATACCACCATGGGTCTGCATGTCTCTGCCAAGAATCATGTGGGATGTCTTTATTTTTTGTTCCCATCCTTGAAATATTATAAAATATCTTAACAAGCCTTGTGACTTTATATATCTTCAGTAACTCTCACCTTGACTGTGCATTCAAATTACTAAGGAGATTTTTTAACAGCAGGAGTGACCATGTTCAAATTAATTTAGTCTATCTAAAGGTAGTTCTGAAATCTTTCCAGATTATCTGATGTGTAGAACTCTCCTTTAAGCCTTTCTTCCTAAAATGTCCTTCCCTCTTCCTTTTCCTATTTTACCTATCAGAATCCTATCCTTTTCCAGGCATCTTCCCTCCCCAGTCAATATTATGTTTTCCCTCACTCTGTTCCTAAGGCATGTGTTTCATGCTAATGCTGTTAGTGTTGCACATTGTAATACAGTTAATTTTCTGTCTCCCCAGAAAGATTGCAAATTTCTTGCTACAAGCTGTCTTGTGTATCTTTCTTTAATCCCTAAATCTTAAATCCTATTTAATGTAAATTTAACTGCTCAAAAAGTAGAACAAAATGCTATTAATTTCTTCCTCGAAAACATTAGAAGTAACATTCTTAGTGGGTCATGCCTTGTTTAAAAAAAGTAAAGTATTCCATGATGTTGCTCCACTTTACTACTTCAGAACAGGCATCTAAATCTCAAAGCAGGACACTTCCATCCTTCTTCTGTGGGAGGCAAGAAGACATTTACCCACAGTCCCTCCTCACAGAAGCAGCAGGGCAACAGGGCCTGGGGAGCTTCTAAGAAATGCAAAATCTCAGACTCCACCCTAGACCTGAATCAAAATCTGCATTTTAACAAACTCTAGTAATTCTAGTAATTCACATGCATATTAAAGTCTGAAAAACATTACTATCCACTTTCTGTTCCAAACTCAATTACACTTTCTATTTCACTCTCCCTGAACTATTTTCATGATCTAGAGATTTTCCTTTGAATTCTCAGCTGAATCTACAAATCATAGTCCTATAAAAGAGTCTCACTCATCTACTGTAGTGATTCTAAACACTAGTTACACATCAGAATCACCAGAGGGACTCTAAACAGTATGGATAGCTGAGCCCCATCTCTAGTTTCTGATTCAATTGGTCAAAGAGACTGAGTCCTTGGTGTTTTAAAAAAATTATTGATCTATTCCACTTTTCCTAAAGTTCACGTAGAAGATTTCAAACCAACACAATAATTAATGATACTCGTTTGTCTTAGTCATAATATTCCTGTTAATTAATGGATATTCTTTAGATTTCCTTCATGCAAACCACCTGCTGTCTAGTGTTCCTCCTTCAATACATTGAAGTCTACAGGCAATTCTTTTTCCATTGGCTCATGAAAAAGCACTTCTAAGATGATCACTCTATCACTGACCAAAAGAGGAAACAACTAGACTTGTTGGCTATTTAGAGTTTTTTCTGGTTCTGTATGAATTTTGGAAATGTTTGTTCTATTTCTGTGGGAAAAAATGATACTGGGATTTTAACAGAAATCACATTTACTTTTTAGTAGTATAGATTGAGTAGTATAGATTTTATAATAATATGAATTCTTCTAAACAATGAAATGGGATGTATTTTTGTATACTGTGTTTGTGTCTTCCTCAATTTCTTTCTTCAATATTTTACAGTTTTCAGTGTATATGTTTTTCACCTCCTTGGTTAAATTGACTCCTAAGTATTTTTGTGCTTTTTGGTACTATTGTAAATAGGATTGGTTTCTTAATTTTTTTTTTTACATAGTTTGTTAGTATATAGAAACACTAGTGATTTCTGCATATTGAGTTTTGTAACCAGTAACTACTGAATTTCTTTACCAACTCTAATTTTTTTGGAGGAATCTTTAAAAGAACAAATCTGGAAGCATCATAATCTTTGATTTCAAAATATATTTTGAAATAGAGTTATTATAATCAAAACAGTGTGGTTAAAACAGACACATTGATCAGTGAAACAGGATAGAAAGTCTAGAAATAAACCTCCAAATTTATGATCAATTAATATTCAATAAAGATATAAAAAACGCATAATAGGGAAAGGATAGTCTCTCTAATAAATAGTGTTGAGAAAGCTAGACATTCACATGTAGAAGAATGAAATTGTATCCTATCTCACCAAAATCAACTCAAAATAGATAAAAGATTTAAGAGAAAAAATTTTAAAGTTATTAGAGATTCTAAAAACACAGGTGACAAAATTTTTTTAAAAAAACAAATTATATAATATCAAAGGGCTTCTACACAGCAGAGAACGCAGTTAACAGAGTAAAGAAACAACCCAAGGGTTGGGAGAAAATACATGCAAACTGTGCATCTGATGAGGAGGTAATAGGCAAAATGTATGAGGAGCTCCAAAACTAAATAGCAAGAAAACAGCCCAATTAAAAGACAGACAAAAGTCTCCTGAACAGACATTTTTCAAGGAGACACAAATGCCCAAAAGGTACATTTTAAAATATTAAACATCACTAATCATTATAAAAATGCAAATTTAAACCACAACAACCTATCACTTCATTCCTGTTAGTCTGGCTATCATCAAAAAGATCAGTGTGCTGGGCATGGTGGTGCAACATCTATAATCTTGTCTTTTTACGAGGCTGATTCAGAAGGATGGAAATCCAAGGCCAGCCTGGACAAATGAGTGAGACCCCGCCTCAAAATAAAAAAGTAAAAAGG